TATCTTATTAAGACAAAATTAGATATATTTTTCTTAAAACCAGATTACTATTCTAATGTAAAACATATTTAAAAAGATTATTTTTCTTTTTAGACAAAAGACTTTTTAGACTAATTTCCCAGAAACAAGGCTTTTTTTTTACTCTCTGATTCCCTGTTTGCATTGTATCTTCTCTTCCTCACCCTCACCTCCAGGTGCTATTGGGGTTTCCACGGTCACTGCAGCCGGGAGGCCGAGCACCTGTTCCAGGCGCTGGAGTCCACCTATCAGAAGGCCCTCCAGTCTCACCTGAAGAGCTCTGACAGCATCGTGTCTCTACCGCAGTCTGACCGCTCCTCCTCGTCTTCCCAAGAGAGTCTTAAGTAAGAACCATGATGCCCTCCTGTAGTGTTATAAACTCCTGCATAGTCCAGAGACCTTTTTCTATATTCTCAAAGCTTTTTTGCATCTATTAGCTGTAATTGATTGGAGGAAACCACTAATGCATCTTATTGAATATGATTGTAAAAACACTGGTAATTATGATTATTATTAGATGGGCATCAGACGGGTGAGAACACACGCTCTCTTGGATCGATTGCCATCATTTACCCAGTTTATGGATTCCCAATGGAGCGTGTTGGCTAATGACCTCATGCTCAATCCATCAGGGCTGCAGCTGTTGTGATCATCACTGTGTTTGTGGGAAGGGTTGAGCTCATTTTTTCTTTTAAGATTTTTATCTGTTCAGTCTCACAGGAAGCTGTGGTTTTCAATCTGGTGCTAACAATGGCAATAGAAATGGTCCGCCAGTGCCTACATTGGTATCTTTTTGCTTATTTTGACGTCATTTTCTTGGAGTATCTTGATTCATATCCTTAAAATCTGTACAGTCTAAGGCAATTAACTACAATTATTGAAAACAAAAGTTTTAAAATTAAGTCATAAATTAAAATCAAATTTTTAATCAAATTTAATTAAATAAAAACATAGTGTGTCAGCCTATGCTGCTGTATTTTGAATAATGTTTTCTGAGGTGGTCCGTGGTGTAAAAGATGTTCATTCAGTGGAAATCTGATGTGCATAAAGTCTAAACAGTGTCTTGTTGTTTCAGCCGGCCCTTGTCTGTGAAGAGTGTCATTGGAGGGAGCATAACGAGGAGTGAGTCCCTCTCTATCCCTCGATGTGGTGCACCAGCTACCAGGTGTCAGTAATGCTTATATGAATATAATAAACTGCCCTTAAGTGACTATTTGCTTCTGGTTTCTGTGCCCGTTGAAGGTAAGCTGGTGAGCAGCAGGGTGCACACCACACCGGGTTCCCTGCAGCGCTCCCGCAGCGACATCGACGTCAACGCCGCTTCCAGCGCCAAGTCACGCCTGTCCACCGTTCCCGCCTCCTCACCCTTCAGCTCTGCGGCTGCCCTTCCCCCGGGGTCCTACGCCTCATTAGGTAATCCCTCAGTCTCCCTCTACACTGCTAAAAGTAGGACAACAAACCTCTGTATGAAGAAAGAACAAAACAAAAAATTCTGAATCATAAATAACTAATTCTTGAGAATTTGGACACGCCCTTTTTTTACTCTTCAATTATGCAGGAAAATATAGTTTAAAAAATATCAAAGTCTTTGCTATTAAACTTCTCAAAGGGATTAACCTATTTTCTTAAATAGCATTTTTGTCCATTGCGTAATATTGATGATAATACGAAAACCGGTAGAAATGAGCTTTCAATTTCAAATATTGAAATCAAAAGCAAGATCCACAATCCCCCCAGTACTCCAGCTTTAGCAACAAATACATTAGCATTATTCAGAAAATCAGTGCAAGCTATAGTTAAAACTAAAAAAGAGCTGTGAATGAATGAACTAAGCTACTTGATAGGGTTTTTGCACCCTAACAGATTTAATAATCAATCTTCATCTCACAGTGCAAAAAACAGCCGTTTAGAAACAAATATTCTTTAATATAATCAGATTTTCTTGGATTGAGCAAATAAATCTAACCACTGAAAGACTGATGGATCTTTAAAACTAAAAAAAAAAATTGTGCTTATTACAAGCAATGAAAACATTGTTAAAGTAAGTATTTTGGTCACTTTAGTAAGCTGAGTTTAAGAATTTGTACCCTTTAATCTACAATAAGATACGATTCTTCAAACATCATAATACAAATAAGTATACTCATAGACACTGAACCCTGCAGTGTGGCATTTTAAGGGGTTTTATTATATATATCTAGAGTATCTGAGCAAAGTTTAGTTAATAAAAACCCTTTTTCAGAGGCTCGCTCAAGCGGTTATTCATCATCATGAAGTATTAAAACATTTTCTGCTGTAATCACTGGCTTTTATGGGTCTGACTGGGGTAATTAATGACCACTGAGGTTGTCATTAGACTGTTCTGCCAGCAGGAACTGTTTAAATCCTACTTTGACACTTGACAAATCGACGTGATGAGGCTGAGCGGCCTCCTGGTGTGATTAAAAAACCCTGATGCCTTTTAGGGATGTTGTCACTAACATCTTAAGCTAATACATTACATTTACTGTAATCTTTTTCGTGCAGAAACTTTTCTCCCTCCCTTGTTCTCCTCCAATGAGTCCCCGTAGCTCGATAACGGCCGTCACTCATCCACTCACTCCTGTTCCTGCTTCAATTGCTACTAATGTCTTCCTCTATACCTCTCCTCCCATTCGCTGCTGCACCGCCTTTCTTAAATGCCCAAAAGATGGCACTCCCGGTAAAAGCGATGGTAAGACTTGTGTGTCTGTCTGTGTGTGTG